AAATGCCCTGTAAGTTCTAGTTTGACAATGTTACCACAGTTATTATAAGAAGCATTATGTTCAAAAGGATATTGAACTGAATATAGCTCTTTGTCTGAACCTAACCCAGGCCCGGGGTTATCCTAGTTTTAGGACAGTGTTCTAGTAGAGTAATTAAGATCCAAATCTATCCTTTACTAGTTTTGGGGCCCCTCGCAAGCAGCTTGACCTCTTTGAGCCTCAGACTTCTCTCTAGAAAAGGCTCATGAAACTGATAATGCACCTAAAATTGTTAATATAGTGCTGGCACACAGTAAGTGCTCAATAAATGATGAGAGTAACAACCACGGCAGCCAACATCATTATCACCACTGTCACTGCTGTTACAAGAGGAGAAACCAGCTCCTGCTGCTAGGAAGTGGGGCGGTTCCTGATGGAACATGGTTCAGCAAATGCCATGACAACCAAACGCTCAGAACAATAAAAAGATCGATGTTCTCTCGATGATAAAACACTCTTAGTGATAAAAAGCATTTGTGCCACAGTGGGGAACCCTTCTGGAATCAAGGGTCCCTGATCCACCAGGGGAGAAATTAATACAGAGAGACATTAAAATGAAATGCAGTTGGTATTTATAGGAGCTGTTAGCTGGTCTTGTGAGTTAGAAGGCTGGTTGTGCTTTGTTGTTATTCTGTTTAGAATGCTGTTTATGTTTGCAGGCTACTCAGGACAGCTGCACGGCAGGTGAAAGAAGGGGGAGAAGGCTGAGGAGTGACTACATGAGTTTGACCAATTAATCAACCCGGAAGAGAGCCTGAGAGGTGTGTGACTCTGATCAAGTCATTTGGACCCCTCTGGACCTCAGTTCAACTGTATAAGAAAAAAGAGGTTACTGGGATTACTCTCTGAGGCTCCCTTCCTATTTCTCTGGAAAGGGGTCACAAGCTGGGTACTTGGGGGGCAGGAGGAAGGAAGAGAAGGCAAGTTCTGATGCCATAACCTGAGGGGTGGCATTTATCATCTATGCCACTCCCACTGCCCCCCAAACCGGGGGTCATCGGTCCCCTGCCTTAGCTGATGTCAGGGCATCTGTCATAGACTCCTGGAATGTTTGACTATCTCTATTAGTGCAATGGTCCCTACCTTTTTAAACAGCTTGGTGAACTTCCTAGAACACTCTATTATCAGAAGTGTTACCATTTTCCAGTTTAGCAACCATGTATTTTACCGAGCAGGTATGCTGCTGAGCCTGTGGATACAAAACAACTGTCTTCGCTCCTACCCTGGCCATGTTCGGTCTCTTTTCTTAACTTGCACAGTTGCACTATTTGAACTCTTAGATGTTTTTATGTATTTAAGCATTAGAGTAAAAGCTCTGATATCTGAGACATATAGACAAGCTTCTCAAATCTTCCTCTTACACATTTTCAGTTTGATGATCAGTCTTTCAAATACAATGAAAGTATGATTTAAAGGGGCTTGATAAAATGACAGTCAGAATTTCCCTGAGGCCCTGAGCTACGCAGAACAAACAAAAAAATCTACGGGTAAGATCTGTTCGCCAAACTTCACACACGGCGGTGGCAGAAACCTTGGTCATCCATGAAAAATGAATGGTGTGTTAATGCTGCGGTCAGCTTAGAAATGAGTTAATCGGAAAGTGCTCATTAAAGTCACCTTTGTCTCAATGTCAATTAAGACATTCAAGTCCCCTCTCCGCCTGGAACATGAAATGAAGAGTTTCTGCATTTCCCCAACATCGACATTGAGCGGAAGGCTAAGCTTGCAGTTTTTCACCTCCTCTTCCTATTCCCAACTTATAAGCCAACAGGAGACTAAACAGCCTCTTGGGATTTAAAGTAATAATTGTGAAGGAGACAGACTCACTGGACAATAAGGAAGGATGGGTGCTTACTGGAGAAGTGAGAAAAGCTAGAGAAAAGAATGCCGGAAAAAAAGAAGGAAAAGGAGACAGGAGTAAGAAAGGAATAGAAACCTACAATAGTGACTCCTTGTAGCTATAGGTCCAGGACTTTCTGAAAACTACATACCAGAAAAATATATATGCACACGCAAATTTCGTATGCCATTTTAGAGAATTTGTGGATGCAACTATGAGCTTCCGTCCTTAGGATCTAGCTGCCCCAGGTTAAGAATTTCTCCTCTAGAGGCTCATCAGATGTCAGGAAACCAGAAAAAAAGACCACCTTATTATAACCAAGGAGCAGATACAAACATGTAAGTGGCCAACTGACCCATCGAGTAGGCACCGTTCAACATACTGATCACTTAGTGAGACTGAATGTGTGATCGAAGGTATTTGAGCTTCTATAGGTGTTTCAAGAACCATGTTATAAAACACCAGGGGTTTTTAAGGCTCCTTACTGCCAGCAAGGTCGAGCCAGCCCCCAGGGAACATAAATTGGCACAACCACTTTGCAGAGCAATTTGGCAATATTTAGTGAAGCTGAGGATGTGTATGGTACACGACTCAGCAATTCCACCCTGGGTATATACCCTAGAGAAATCCACTCTAAGGAACGAAGGGACGGCTTGGTTCAAAATAGCCCAAAGCTGGAAAATAACCTCAGTGGATAAAAACCTGGTAGAATATTTATACCACAGAATACTATGTAGCAGTGAAAATGGGTGAACGAGATCGACTCTTGTCAATCAGATTAACCTCATGTTGAGTGCAAGAGGCAGGGTGTAGAAAAAAACACTTAGAGGGAAACTTAAAGCATGCAAAACAGTACCATTTATATGTGTGTAGACATATAATATATATAAAATAAAACCGTAAATGCATAAATGGAAATAATAAGCAAAACTCAGGGAAGTACTTCTAGATGGGAAAGAGAAAGGAATGGGGCCAGAATAGGGAACACAGGGACTTACACTGTATTGGAAAGGTTCACTTTGATGGCAAGTTGCTCCATCACCTCCCTCCTGCCTTCACCTCCTCTACTCTTTCCTTCTCTCGCTGTGCTCCAGCCACTCTGGCCTCCACTGTTCATCAAACACGGTCCAGCCTCAGGGCCTTTGCACTTGCTGTTCCCTCTGCCTTGTTCTCTCCTCCTTCAACTACCCTCATGGCTCATTCACTCATTTCCTTCAAGGTTTCATTCATAGTATCACCTTTCCAATGAAGTCTCTGGCTCCCAGCCCTCCTGCCCCTTCCCTGATTTATTTCTCTGTGGCCCTCAACACCACCTAACACACTAGATATTTCATTCGCTCGTTCATTCAGTCAGTCCGTCTTTCTTCACCACTGGAATATCAGTTCCGCAAGAAGAGAGAGTTTTGTCTGTTTTATTCACTGCTGTGTCCCACGGCCTGGTGCACAGTAGGTGTACACTAAATAGTCATCGAATAAATATTTACACACATAGGTATTTGGCATATTATCCTCTACTTCTTTTTGAATGTCTGATTAATTTTATTTTACATTTTTAACAACAGAGTCAGCCATTGGGCTATTTCACAGACGAGTTTCCTAGCAAGCTAAGAGAAAAGCACCCACCATGATGACAAGTCTCTGGAACCTGCCAAGGTCCCAAGTCACAGGACTATGGGCACAGCAACACAGGTCCCTCAGGGAACACCCAGCTTGCTAGAGCTGGCCCAGAGCCCTCACGACAGACCTCTCACATCTGACTGCCTCTGCTGAAACAGCCTCATACGACATAGCTCCTGCTGTGAGAAGCAACACTGCACTGAGCAACATACGTGTTCAAAACCTGACCTGTGTGAGCCTAGCCAACACAGCATGGGTGCTAAGACTCATGATATCTGCCAAAAGAGACAAGATCTGAAGCACCAACAGAGCCTAGAGGAGAACTGTGAACTCATAGAGGAAGAACTACAAGGAAGGCCTCCCACAAAGAGAGGCCTTGCAAGAGAAGAGCCAGACTTAGCTCAAGGGAGAAGAGGGGGTGGGCAGAGGAGCCAGAAATCAACACAAAACGTTAATGTCCGTACTGGGAGCTGATAAAGGGCTTTGGGGTCTGTTGGCTGGCCGTTCACCAAATCCATTTCCCTTCCTATCTGTGCAGTCTCACATTCCCCAACTTCCCTTGCAGTCATGTGTGGACATGTGACTGACTTCTAGCCAAGGCATATGACTGGAATATGTGCCAGGTTCCAGCCAGGCTCATACAATCTCTCAAGTATCACCTTCCATGCCCGTTTCTCTTCCATGGTTTGATGTAGACAAGCACAGAGTTCTTGGAAGCTATGGGTCAATAATGAGGAACCACAATGTAGCAAGGGCCCGAGCCCCTCAATCACTGTTGGAGGAGAGAAGCCTGACAACAAGGAACAGCCATTTTGGACTTTTAATGTGTGATAAATTTCTGTTCTGTTTAAGTCATTACCTAGTTTTGGATTTTTTGTTATAGCAGCTAGTGTTACCTTATGCTGGGTCCTTGATGGAAAGTGTATACACATCCACCTTTCAACTAAGGTGCATTGTATACAGATTTGAAAACTCCTCAAAGGCAGTGACTGTACCTTATCTAGTTGGTTTTCTCCACAGTCCTACCACAATCCCTTGTACCCAAAAGTCCTCAACAAACATTTACTAACTTAAAATAAGGGCAAGACATCCCTAAGCAAAGCAAAAGGTCGACACATGCACAATAGTTAAAAACAATTTCTGGAATCATGAGATCTTAGCTTTAAATCCCAGCTCCATCACTTACTAGCTGGGTGATCTGAGGCAAGTTCCCTTTCTGTGGTTACATGGGAATATTAATATTTCCTAATTCATTGGGTTATTGTGAAGATTAAATGAAAGGATGCCCATAAAGCACTTTGGAAGCAGTCGACTCTAATAAGCTATTATTCTAATTGTAACAGAAAGTATCTGCCGTAACATGCAGCTGAGATTTGGAGGTGGGGTGGAAGACAGCAGAAGAACATGGGGCTCAGCCTTCCTGAGCCCAGCCTGGACCACACCAACCATTACAAAGTCCTCATAATTCAAGATAATTCTAAGTAGCACAGCACACTCCACTTACCCTGTTAGCACCACAACGAAGTCCATCACGTTCCAACCATTCCTCAAGTAAGAGCCTTTGTGGAAGGCAAACCCGAGGGCGATGATTTTAATGCCAGCCTCAAAACAAAAAATTCCAATGAAGTACGGTTCTGTGTCATCCTAGAAGGGACAGAGGGTAAGGTCATGGTCTTTGGCAGGATCAGAGCACCAGCCCACCTGGAAATCTGTGCCCACCTCCCCTTGCCTCTCCCAACCCTCCAGCGCTCACTGAATCCTTCCCAGAGTTCTCTTAACTGAAGGTTTTTGCAAGAGAAACAGATGCATGGAGAAGACACCCCCTATTCTTTTGGCGAACTTAACATACCTCTCGGCCAAGTAAAACTGTTTGACTGTTTGGACTCCACGCTGTCCAATACAGCAGCCACTGGTCACGTGTGGCTGTTAAAATTAAATAAGTTTAAACAAATATGAAGAAAATAAAATAAATGGTTCATTTCTGCAGCACACTAGCCACCTTTCCAGTGGCTTCCATATTGGACAGCGCAGACGGAGAACAATATCACTACTGCAGGAAATTCTACCAGAAAGCGCTGGTTTAGTCTGTTTACTTGTCACTCAAGGCCTTTGAGGTTGGACCCTGTGCATCGACCTCACTCTCAAACCTGACACTTGTGATGGTTCTCAGCTGGTATGCATCAGCACAGTTGTTCAGGTTGCTAAAAGAGTAGAATAATACTTCTGTACCAGCTAGCAAATGGCCAGTGCCTCCGCCCCGAGCCCGTTGCCGGCCCTCTTGCTGGTTCTGGCTTCCAGCTGATAGTCTATAGTATGTGAAATTAAGCTATAAGCTCCACTCCATCAGAGCCCCTACAGGGAAGTTTTCCCAACTGGTATGACGTTTCTCAAGCGTCAATCATTTGCATTCTGCAACTTCGTTTGCTTTCTATATCAGCTTGCCATGGTACTATTTGCTTACTTTCTTCAGTTGACTCTTTTCACTTAGCTTCACTGCATGCAAAAACAAACAAATAAAAAGTCTTGCAATCATAGTTTTGCTAGGCTAGGTCTATTTTTTAGAATATACATTATAGTGCATAACTACTAAAATTTAAAAATCTTGAGACCATCAATACTGCATGGATTAGGAACAAATGGATTCTTACCTCCCCTTCTCTCTACCCTGGAGCTATTACAGCTCTTTCAAAAAAAGTGACAATAAGGAGAGAAGTGTCCTCCATTGCACTGTCAGAATGTCAGGGAGGGGGACCCGGAGAGCTGGGGAATGGAGAAGGATCTTAACGCTAGTTTTCAGCTCTGCAGCGTTTTACCAAATGAGCACCTTAGAACAAGGACTTTGTCCTCCAGAGCTGACATCCATGTATAGGAAACATGGGGATGGAGAAATGAGCTAAATGACATCATAAGCAAGCCACCAGGCAAAAAGCAGAGTGTGGGACACTCCTTATAGCTGGCAAGAGGGAATATATTGCTTGAGATTAGAAGTCTTAAGCAACATAACAAAATCTAGACCATATTTGGATCTTGATTCAAACAAAGCAATTGTAAAATGTCATTTCCGAGACGATCACGGAAATGTGGTTACTGGCCGGATCTCGGATGATCCCAAAGAACCACTGTTAATTGTGTTGGGTGTGAACACATCACTGTGGTGACTTAAGAAAATGCCCATATTTTTAGCAGTGCAGACTTAGGTACACAGCCATGAAGTGACATGTTGTCTGGGATTTGCCTTAAAATACTTTGGCCAAGAAAGAAAAATCAAGGAAATAAAAAGGGACAGAAAATATGAATGAGGGAAAACCTTGACAACTGTTGAACTGGATGGTGGATTTATTGTACTGTTCTCTATATTTTGGTGTATAGTCCAAATATTTCACAAGAATTTTGGTTTGAATGGACAATGTGAACATTCTCACCCATTCCTCCCTACAGGTGATACCAGGTCTGATGCAGGGTAACTGGGGCAGGGGGTGGCAATGAGGGCATCTCTCTCCTAGATTATTTGTGTTTATGGAAGTAAGGCTTCCTGAGCCAGGGGCCCACCATCCACCTCTTGGCTCCAACACTGAGAGCCCCCTCTGCCCTCTGCCCCCACTGCCACATCAGTTTGCCACAAGAGTGGAGGAGAAACCCCCAAGAGAGACATCACTCACCAATCGTTCAGACATGGGGGTCTTGTCATCATCAGGTAGGTGCTGCTCCAGGGCGAGGACGATGCAGTTTGCTATGATGGTGGCTAAAATCATATATTCAAAGGGAGTATCAGCGAATTAAGGAAAATCTTTCCAGCTTCTTTAGGTTCACAGCAAAACCGAGTGGAAGGTACAGAGATTTCCCATGTGTCCCCTGCGCCCCCCCACATTCACAGCCTCCCCCACTATCAACATCCCCCGCCCCAGACTGATGCATTTGTTACAATCAACGATCCTACATCGACACATCATAATAACTCAAAGTCCATAGTTTACGACAGAGTTCACTCTTGGTGTTATGCGGTCCATGGGTTTGAGCAAATTATAGCGACACGTATCCGCCATCACAGTCTCGTACAGAGTAATTTCACTGCCCTAAAATCCTGGCAGATGACTTTTTGAAGAAAATGTGGACATTCTTCCTCTATCTCACCTCCAACATTCGTTAGGCAAATATGAATTCAGCACCTACTGTGTGCCAGGCCCTATTCTGGGCCCTGGAGACACTGCCGAGAATAAAATAGACAAAAATCTCTGCCCTCGGGGCAGAGAACTGAGTAAGTGAGACAACTACCTTATATAGGACATTAGAAGATGGTGAATGCTATGGAGAAAAAAAGCAGGAAAGGAGGTCAGGGTTGCAATTTAAAATACAGTGGTCAGAACTGGCACCAAAAGCAGGAGCAGCAGAAAAAAAAAAAAACCAATAAATTGGACTTTGTCAAAATTTAAAACTTCTGTGTGTCAAAGAGCATTATCAAGAAAGTGAAAAGACAACCCACAGAATGGGAGAAAATATTTGCAAATTATATGTCTGATAAGGGTCTAGTATCCAGAATATATAAAGAACACTTATAACTCAACAATAAAAAGACAAATAACCAATTTTAAAAAACTAGCAAAGGGCTTGAATAGTTCTCCAAAGAAGATATTCAAATAGCTAACAAGCACATGAAAAGATGCTCAATGTTATTAGCCATTAGGGAAATGCAAATCAAAATCACAATGAGATACAACTTCACACCCCCTAGGATGACTAGAATTAAAAAACAGAAAACAGTAGGTGTTGACAAGGATGCGAGAAATTAGAACTGCTGTGTATTGACTGTAGATGTAAAATGATGAAATGTAGCTACTCTGGAAAATAGTTTGATGGTCCCTGAAAAAATTAAACATAGAATTACCATATGATCCAGCAATTCCAATCCTAGGTATATGAACAAAATAAATGGGCATGTTCACAGCAGCACTATTCACAATTTCCAAAGGTAGAAACAACCCAAATGTCCATCAAGGAATAACTGTTAAACAAAATGTGGTATATCCATAAAATGGAATATTATTCAACCATAAAAAATGAAGTACTACTACACGCTATAGTGTAGTTGACTCTCAAAAACATTATGCTAAGTGAAAGAAGCCTGACACAAAAGATCTCATATTGTATGAATTCCACTGATGTGAAATGTCCAGAACAGCCACATCCATAGAAACAGAAAGCAGACTGGTGGTTGCCAGGGGCTGGGGGAGGGGGAACTGGGGAGTGAGCACTTCGTGTTTTATAACTAGACAGAGGTGACAGTTGCACAACACGGTGGGTGTACTAAATGCCACTGAATTAATTACATTAAAATGGGTAATACTGTTATGCGAATTTCACCTTAATAAACAAATAATATGGTGGCCAGGGCAGGCTTCTGAGTAGCTGACCTTTCAAGACCTGAGGGAGGGCAGAGGCAGTTCCCAGATGCAGCAGTCCATCTCCTTCCTCACAAGCTCCTCCCCGCACCCTGGGAACTCTCCTCCGTGTTGATGAGGTCATCAGAAGGTCCCACTGGAGAGTCTGCACTTGGGAAGGGTCTGTCCTGCTCAATTCATATTAGAGCCTGATCTGCTGATCAGTTGGTGCATGACAGTGTCCCCTGTCCCCCTGTCAGATCTGTAGAAGCACACTCGAATCCAACAGCCTCGATAAATGGAGACGGCAACCTCCGAGAAGGAGGTTTAGGTGTGAAGAAACTGAAGTGAGAGGGAGAAAGCCATAGGATGCTCTTACTCTGCAGCAAGGTTTTCCAACCTCGGCACTACCGACATCTGGGGCCGGATCATTCTCTGGGATGGGGGCCGTCTCCTGCTCTGTAGGGTGTTGAGCGGCATCTCTGGCCTCCACTGAATTCCAGTAGCACTTCTTCCTCTCCGATTACGACAACCAAAACTACCCAAACTTATGACAACCAAAAGTGATCTCCAGACATTACCAAGTGTCCCCTGTGAAATCCACTGTTGTGCAGAAGGATCAAATAGAGTGTCGTGGTGAACTTGGCCATGTTAAGCCACTGTCTTCCTCCCAACTTTCTCCCTTGGCAATTTAACTGGCTTCAGTCTCCTCTTTGGCCCTAGGGCTAAGTTTGGCATTTTGGAAGCTCCACAAAACCAAGGGATCTTACGGGCCCTTGAGGAGGAGTTGGAGCATATACCCACTTTCCAGGTGGGAAAACAGAGTCTGAAACAGAAAAGCTGGGAGTAAAAGTCTACATAAGCCAGGAAAACCAGGCCTTCTTTGTCGCCAGCCCCAGCCTTTGCCTCCAGCTGAAAGCAGCTGAGTTGCACTCCATGCACACTCTGAAAAGCAAATCTGAGACTCAGGGCAATTTGGGGAGCCAACAAAAGCCAGCCTTGCCGCCGATCGTCTCTGATTGGCTTCCTGCCTCCGAGCTGACAGTCATTAGAGCACAGAGAACAAAGCTGGGCTCTGTTGCACAAATACTCTATTCTGCCTCACCCTGCAGCCCGGAAAATAAGAGACAATATTTGTACACAGAGAAGCAACGCCAAGCCCTTCCCTGGCCTCCCCTTGCCGAGGCTTCTGAAGTCATGATTTGAATCTGATGATTTTGCTTCCACTCCCTGCCACTAGCTCTCTGCTCGCTTCTGCATGAAGCTACCTTTTCATTCCTCTGGCCCCCTGAACCCCTGACCCCAAACAGCTGGGATGTGACTTCCTTTACATGAGATTCAAGCTGAGGTTCCAGGAAGCATCCCAGAAAGCCAGAAGCGAGCAGCACTTTTATAGACTGCATTACCAGGGTTTCAGGTGCCCAGTGTTGCCTGGATTTCAGACCCAGAGCTCCCTGGGTACAGTGATGAAATCTTAGTCAGCATACCAGCAAACAGAACAAGGCTGCCTCCTCCTCCCTTATTTCTGCTTCTTAGTTCTTGTCAGACACAGCCACACTGGCTATGAAATTCATCTCTCCATGCACCCACAGACCCTGCCAATGTCCACAGATGTGCCCCCAAAGGGAACCTGTAACAATGACCTCATATTCTTGTCAACCAGTTCGTGGTCCAAGAACCAGCAGCATCGATAGCATCCAGTGAAATTCAGGGTCTCAGACCCCAAGCCGACCCTCTGAGTCAGAAGCTGCATTTTAGCAAGAGCTTCAGGCAAGCTGTGTGCACACTGAAGTTTGGCAAGTGCTGCCTTAGATCTATTTCAGGGGCAGGAGGAGCCCAGGTAATTGTGGCTTTGAGTCATCCCAAAAGAAGTGGGGGCTCCTCTTTCTCTCCCAAGCTTTCTCCTCCATGTTCCGACCCCAGAAGGAGAATTCAGCAGTCCTGGTCTTCTGCCACCACTCAGACAAAGGGGCTGATAAGAAACCCTAAACCTTGATGAAACAAGAGCAATGTTGGAATAAGACAGATAGGCAGAAAAGAAAATTATGACTTAATGCAAGTGGAAGTATTCATAGCCTTCCCATGACTCCCATTTCACTCAAAAGCCAGGTCCTCCCAGCGGCCAGCAAGGCCCTGCAGGACCCGCTCCCATCACCTCCCTGCCCTTGTCTTCTCCATTCTTCCCCTTGCTCTTGTAGCTGCAGCCACATTAGCCTCCCTCCAAGTTCTCCAAACACACTAGGCGTGCCCTGCCCCGCGGCCTTTGCACCTGCTGTTCTTGCTCCTGGGACGCTCTTTCCCCAGAGACTCACATGGTTCCCTGCCTCACTTTCTTTAGGATTTTACTCAAAGTTCGCAACCTCAGTGAGGCCTTCAACCACCTTTCCCTGCTTTTCCCTTGGTCTTTGTCCCCAGACAAATATCTGCTATATTTTCCTTCTTTATCTCATTCACTGTTTGTCTTCCCTCCTAGACTGTAAGCTCTGTGCAAGCAAGGATTTTTGTCTAGTTTGTTCACTGCTTTGTCCTCAGCACCTTCGAGAGCATATGTTATATCTAGTAGGTGCTCAATAAACACCTGTGCAAGGAAGAAAGGGTGGGTGGGTCCTGCTTTCTGCACCTCTTCCCCGACTCCATCTCATGCCAAGTCTCTGTGGGCACGTTAAGAACACAATCAGCTCCTTGAAATGAACAATGATGTGGCTGGCACACAGACAAAGATGGGATACTGAGTTCCTGGCATGGGAAGAGATGCTTCACCCCAGGCAGAAGTCAAAGGCGGTCCAGGCAGGGGGAGTCAGGCTTTCTCAGCCCAACCCCAAGTTGTGCCTGATCCTCCCGATTTAGAAAGCCTGGGTTCTAACTCACAGCTGCGGTGAGCAATGCCTCTGCTAGATGAGCTGAGCCTTCCTGTTCCCAGATTGGTTGGGGAGAAAGCACCTGTGTCAGCGGGATCCAGAATAATCAGCCAGCCGAAGAGGCCAAGGGGAGGAAGGGTTGGAGGAGAACAGATGAAAGGAGAGAAGCATCCCTGATGGGAGGAAAAGCTGGCTCCTAAAATGGCCTGTGAAAGGCAGGGTAACGAACAGCCCTGCAGGCAAGTGCAGATGCACAAAGCTCCCCCCACAATTAAACTGATCAGGACCCACAGAGGCCCTGGAGAGGGGCTGTGTATGACACTGGAAACGACCAAGTGATTCTTCCCAGGGAGGAGGGCTGCATCTGCTAACTGAAGCTGCTCCTGGGATCCAGAACATCAAGGAAAATCAATTTGCAAAGTGAGCATGGCTGATGGTTCCAGCCCCTTAGCAGGACCTTGCAGAATATCCAAGTAATTTATCCTTTTTGTGGTGTCCCCATCCCCATCTCATTTCCAACCCCCTGTGGTTG